AACCAATCTTTTTTAAAGTTAGATAAAACAAAAGCTTTATATAGAAATTTTATAGAATATCTTAATTGTTTTACAAAGCGGATCTATTCTTTTTTAATTAGCAGTTTAAAGTGTGTGTAAATTTTACGCCAAAATCAAAGAAATATTTATAGTATCATTCTTGAATTAAAAAAAAATGAAATTTATCTATTCCTTTTATAATTCAAGTGAAAATCATAGTCCAGGAAGGCGTCTCCTAAAGAAAGGAAGCAAAAGGAACGATAATGGCATTCCAAAGATAAAGAAGAAACAAAAACAATTCCCTATACTACTTACCTTCATAGATCAAGCTGAAATTCAGGTCCAGGAAGGCATTCCCTAAAGAAAAAAAGCAAAAGGAATGTTAATAGCATTCTAAAGACAAAGAAAAATAAAAAAAAACCACAAGAAAAGAAACAAAAGAAACGTTAATGGCGTTTTAAAGATAAAGAAACAAAAACAATCCCTTACACTACCTTATCTTCATAACCCAAACCGAAATCCAAGTCCAGGAAGGCATCCCTAAAGAAAGCAAAAGGAACGTTAATGGTATTCCAAAGATAAAAGAAACGAAAAAAATCTCCACACTACCTTACCTTCATAGTCTAAGCAGAAATCCAGGTCTAGGAAGGCGTCTCCTAAAGAAAAGAAGCAAAAGAAACGTTAATGGCATTCCAAAGACAAAAAAGAAATAAAAACAATTCCCTACACCACTTACCTTTATAATCCAAGCCAAAATCCAGGACCAGGAAGGCGTCCCCTAAAGAAAAGAAGCAAAAGGAACGTTAATAGCGTTCCAAAGACAAAGAAAAACAAAAAAAAACCACAAGAAAAGAAGCAAAAGGAACGTTAATAGTATTCTAAAGACAAAGAAGAAACAAAAACAATTCCCCACACCACTTACCTTCATAACCCAAGCTGAAATCCAGGTCCAGGAAGGTGTTCCCTAAAGAAAAGAAACAAAGGAATGTTAATAGTATTCCAAAGATGAAGAAAAACAAAAAAAACCACAATAAAAGAAGCAAAAGGAACGTTAATGGTGTTCTAAAGACAAAGAAGAAACAAAAACAATTTCCCACACCACTTACCTTCATAACCCAAGCTGAAATCCAGGTCTAGGAAGGCGTCTCCTAAAGAAAAGAAGCAAAAAGAACGTTAATAGTATTTCAAAGACAAAGAAAAATAAAAAAAAACCATAAGAAAAGAAGCAAAAGGAACGTTAATGGCATTCCAAAGACAAAGAAGAAACAAAAACAATTTTCCACACCACTTACCTTCATAACCCAAGCCGAAATCCAGGTTCAGGAAGGCGTCCCCTAAAGAAAAGAAGCAAAAGGAACGTTAATAGCGTTCTAAAGACAAAGAAAAATAAAAAAAAACCACAATAAAAAAAGTAAAAGGAACGTTAATGGCGTTCCAAAGACAAAGAAGAAACAAAAACAATTCACCACACCACTTACCTTCATAGTTCAAGTCAAAATCCAAGTCCAGAAAGGCGTCCCCTAAAGAAAAAAAGCAAAAGGAACGTTAATGGCATTCCAAAGATAAAGAAACAAAAACAATCCCACATCACCTTACCTTCATAATCCAAGCTGAAATCCAAGTTCAGGAAGGCATCCCCTAAAGAAAAGAAGCAAAAGGAACGTTAATAGCGTTCCAAGAAAGAAAAACAAAAAATCCCACAAGAAAAGCAGCAAAAAAATCATTAATGGCATTCTAAAAACAAAGAAAAAACAAAAACAATTCCCCATACCACTTACTTTCATAGTCCAAGCTGAAATCCAGGTCCAGTAAGGCGTCCCCTAAAGAAAAACAGCAAAAGGAATATTAATGGTGTTTCAAAGACAAAAAAGAATCTCCCACACCACCTTACCTTTATAGCCCAAACTAAAATCCAGATCCAAGAAGGCGTTTCCTAAAGAAAGAAGCAAAAGGAACGTTAATGGCGTTCTAAAAACAAAGAAAATCAAAAACAATCCCCACACCACCTTACCTTTATAGTCCAAGCAGAAATCCAATCCAGGAAGGCGTTCCCTAAAGAAAAGAAGTAAAAGGAATGTTAATGATGTCCTCAATGACAAAAAAAACAAAAACACCAACTTACCTTCATAGCCTAGCCAAAATCCTCAAGAAGACGTTCCCTAAAGAAAAGAAGTAAAATGAAAGTTAGTAACGCTTTCAAGACAAAAAAAGGAAGAATTTTGTACTTACCGTTTGAATTCAAGCCGTTCAAGTCGAAATTTGGAGTAAAGATCCAGGAGGAGAGGGAGAGTGAGTGAGTGAGTGAGTGAGTATGTGTGTGTGTGTGTGTGTTGTGTGTGTGTATATGCGTGTGTATGTATAAGAGAGAGAGTGAGTGATGTAATACGTAGATTTAATATTATTGTTATTGTAAAAAAAAAAAAATAAAAATAAAAAAAAAAAATTTATGCTTATCTAAGTCGAATTGACCATCCAATTTGTTCATCGAATATTCGATGATCTATCCGATCAATTCAGTGATATAAATGGATCAATCCGAATCTGGTCAAATTTCGGATGAGTGACCAGATATCCAGATTGATCAGATTTGAAGCACACCTCTAGTTGATACATCAGAATCTAGAGTTGTAGAACAAGAAAAGCATATCGCAATCCTTCATGCAGAAACTGAAGAACTACGCAAACACAACAAAATCACAGTAGAAAACTTAATATCACGCTCAAAGCCATCGCCAACATCTAACATATAGTCCTCAATGAAACATACCCTGCACACATAACTCTGATCCCCATACTCAATATTCCTGGTACAGTCGTCGCTTTAGAAGATGGCACAGAGGCTTCCGCCCCAGAACTCTTCTTTAAATAATTATGATTTTACAACCACCAAATACAAAAACGGTCCCTATTACCCTTAATATCACCACTTATAATACTCATTCTTTTACTCTACCACACAAATAACAAATTCTTTTTAATTTATATTCTCTTTATAATTTAGACATCATCGCTTTACAAGAAACAAATTTTAAAAACTCATCTCATTTACACTTCTTAAAGCCCATTTGTTCAAATAAATTTGTCCTCTTTTTTAACATCAACCCTTCCACTCAAAGTATGGGATTTGGAGTTGGCTTTCTCATTAAATAACACCTAGCTAACCACATTTTTTGCCACTCCTCTTTCTTTTATCGCATCTATTCGATAGATTTTCAATTCAAAAACAAAACACAAACTCCATATCATTAATATTTATATTTTCAGTTCAGATAAAACATTACGAGACAAAACTTACAAAAAAGCTTTAAACCTAATAAACGATGCATACCAAAAGGATTTCCTCATAATAATCCTTGATGACTTCAATACAGATATGTCACGAACCTTTAATCCTTCGAATTTAAAGGCGTTCTTCACCTCGCTTAATAATCTTCACATGATCAACAATTTAGACCTCATCAAGAATCACAAATCAATTAATGATCTAATTACTTATGAAACTAATACAGGAAGCTCTACAATAGATCACATTTTTATGCACTCCTCATTAATCCCAGATCTTATTGATCAAGTAGTAACAAAAGTTGACAACGATTTGTCAGATCATGCTTTTGTATATGCAACTATTTCATTAGTAGCTATTAATCCATCTTTCACTCAATGAACAGCAATAAAAATGTTAGTCTATCGATATGACGAGATGTCTGATGACGACTGGTCGACTTTTGAAATCTCAGTCAATAAACGATGCAAAAACACAAAACTCAACAAAATGTCATCAAATAGCATACACACACTACACCATTTGAACTACTATTGGGATCTTCTACAAAAATCGATTATAGACGCTGCTACTAAAACAATCCTTAACAAATATACCTCACATCACAACTGAGATCTTAGACCACGTATTCTTAAATTGATCTATAAACGTATTAAGATGGTTCAAAAACTTTGCAAGTCAAGTAGCAAAAGCATCATAGAGAATACAATCGACCCCAAATGGATCACCTGGTGTAAAAAGATACAGGCCTTTTCAGCTGAATATGCTATAATAATCCCTGATATCAGTCAACCTTCAATACAAAAGATCAAATTGATCCATCCCTGTTAGTCAATTTTTGTAAAGTTCTATCAATAGCAGCAAAGTTAAACGAAGCTGAACTTAAAACTAAAGCCATCAATGAAGCTATCGAAAAATGTTATACTAACTTTGTAGTTGACCAAAAAGCTATGTTCGACTCATTATTAGATTATCCTCACACTAATATTACACTGGACAGATGCATTAATAATAACTCTTCTGATAAAAAACTTCTCACAGCTCCGAAGGATGTTTAAACTGAAACAGCAAGACATTTTCAAAAAGTGGTTGGATCACAATACTCTAATCTAGAACTTCCAGAAATATGGAAACACGTTTATAAGCCAGACGAATTGATTGATCTTTCAATATATAACTCCATTATGCAACCCTCTCAGAGGATGAATGGCATACAATCATTAGGGCGCTTCTTGATGGAAAAGCTTCTGGTCCATCTAATGACACCTCAGACCCTTTGCATCAAAATGCTTTGGATTATCATTTGCAGATGTTTGTCACTCAATTTAGCACCTAGTAGATGGAATCTTGCTTTTGTTTATCCAATACCCAAGTCAAAACCATAGGAATACAACTTAACAAACACATAGCCTATCACGCTTCTCGAATGCCCTTGTAAAGCTCTTACCAAGCTAAACAATGGTCAACTTTTAAATGTTTTGTTCTTCAACAGCATTCTCAAAGGAAACAATTTTACTGGATTGCCTTGTAGAAGCACCTTTGAACCAATATATATATTTGATAATGTCAATTACGACGCGTCGTTTCATCACAATAATCTCTGGATTTTATTTTAAAATATGTCAAAGGCATTTGATCGTGTCAATATCACTATGTTAATCAGAGTTCTTGGCCGTCTTCAGATTCTTGAAGCATTTATAAAACTTTTGATTTCGATCTTTCTCCCTCATTTTAATCAAGTATTTACCACGTACGGTAATTCTAATACTTACCTAGTTCTCTCAGATATTGATCAAGACGAAATTATATCTCCTATCTTATGGTGTATATATTACGACCCACTTCTTTGTTTTATACAAAATTCTTTACATAGATATACGCAGCACGTTCACTGAAGATCTGATGTTACAAAATGCAATACACAGAGTTTCTCAAACCACGTTCCTGCATTGGCATACATGGATGACACACTCTGGATGGCAGAATCCAGAATTGACCTATTAAATATTATGAATATTGCAGACTCTTTCTATACACTTAACAGCATCCAAGTTAACTGGGATAAGTCAGTTCTTATGATTAATGACAAAGATTCTGCTTCCGTTAACTTTAATTTCAATAACAAGAATATTTGGCTTCCACCACTACACCATAAGGATTTCACAAGATATTTAGGAGTCTGGATATCTCTTTTTAATAACAAATAATACATTATTAATCAAATTACTGATGAGTTCACAAAGGCAAAGAACATCCTTAACAAGAAACGACTTACTACTAAACACATGGTTGCAATTTTCAACACCGTAGTCATCCCTCGTATACTGTACAAAATAAAACTAACATTTATCTCTTTCAGAACTTTTTTCAAAAAGAAACTAAAACTGTTAAGATTCATATCCACTTCAGTAATCCACTTAACATTTGGTTACAACTTAGCACACTTATATGATAAGCAGATTCAGGCTAAATCATCTGATCTCTTAAAGATAACAAATGATATTTCACTCCTTGGTTCAACTTCACGACTAAGAATTTTGCAATTACAACTCTTAGAATGGTTACCATTATCCCCACTAACTGACTGGCCTTACACAGAAACCAAGCCTTTCAAAGATTGGTAGTCAGGTTTCCTTTCAACTACTAAGCAGATTGGACTTACATTTTAACAATGTATAGATAAAAATTACAACCTACGTCAAATAGATAGAGGCTCACTCCCAATAATGCAATTGCTTCCTCCCAAGGTTTATCGACAAAATATAATAAAATTGTGAACACTTTCAATCTTATATGTCGATTAACTTACATCTATAGCATTCACTTATTCACAGCTTTTGACTTAAACATGGTTTACGATTCAGTATTTCATAGTGCAAATAGTTCAAACAAATAGAATCTTGACTTTTGATCAATAACTCAGATAGTCTCTTGTCTCATAATTGTCCTCATACGTCAATCATAAAAGCATCAGCTCAACCCTCTGACTTTAATAACTCAACAACCCATCCTACCTTTATTGTAATTTGGTCTAATCAATATATGACGTTCATATTAGGAAAAATAGTCAAAGTCAAAGATACTATTATTCACGCATAACATTATTTGCCAAACTAACCTACTTGCCTTCAAATACCCATTGCCCTGTACTAGATGTAGTCTTTTTGACCACTCAGGTTTTATACCTTACAAATAACAATGTCATCATTTTTGTACTATTACACTACCTAAAGCATATTGTTCTATAATCAAAGTTTTCTACAAAGTTCGAGAAGGATGGTAGTATAGCCTCTCTCACCTAATGCTTCGTGAAGTTGCCATATCAAAATTGACATTCTCTTATCAATACCCAATCAAACTGCTACCTAATTTAGATATTCTTTCCTTCGATCAAACATCCATTAATAAATTAGATTATCTCAATTTTATACAGATGGTTTTCTTACATCCTTAGGATCTCCTGACTGCTAGATGGGAATAGCGTGATTACAAACCAATCAAAACTGGCCTTTGCTCTCCTTCAATGTAATACTTGTTTTACACTTTCTATCTTCAACGTTAGCAGAAATAATTGCTATTTTTGCTGCAACATACACTGCCCCTCCAAATTCCAATATCGAAATCTGTACTGACTTCCAAGCTGCAATTGTTTCATATCACAAAGTCATTACCATATGCGAGGAATTCCCTCTCTAAACTCCGCTTTTAAAATCCCGTATTTCCATATTTGGATGATTGTAATCCAGCTTATTATAACTAACAATATCATATTTTTACTGACAAAAGTCAAAGCTCATGGATCAGACCAAGCTAACAACAAAGTAGACGCTTTAGCAAAATAACTCTTTGGTGTCCCGTTAAGTATCAACAGCAATCACCTTGGTCCTAAATACTTTATATAGTATAACAATACACCGATCATCACACCATCCCATTTATTTATTAAACACTTGCAACAAGCATCATGGGCTGGAACATTTCTAACCCTCCCTCAACTGGTTAAATATAGCAAATTTAATGTTGATTGGCAAATCCTCTTTTATGTCCTTAATGACTCTGAAAACGCTAGAGTAACATCATTCGATGCATGTAAAAGGAAACAATTCAAAATAAAACTGTTATTACAGTTGCTTCTGACCTTATCAGTCATGAATTCACAATACCCTCAAATATATACCGCTAGTACTTGCTTCTATTGTAATATTGTAATTGAGGACTTTGAATACATTTGGTCTTATCCCAAAAATATAGTTTCTCTTACTGACATGATCTAAAAACACAAAAAATCATTCTTATTTCACCTCAAGGAACTCAATAGACCCAACAATAATGCTCAAATCGATGATATTGATCAATCTGCGATATGGTATTGCAACTCCTTCAATAATAACTTATGCTTTATTGATCTTCTGAAAGGAATTGTTCCCTCATCATTTTCTTTCTCAATAAACTCCATTACAAATATCAAGCAACTCATCCTCGGTTTATTATCATCTTTATTTGATGATATATTCTTCTCTGCTTACAATATATGGTTAGCAAGATGTAAATCACTTCAACAATGAAAAACTTTGAATAACATCAAAGATGACTTCACCATTGCTTGGGTTACCTCTGGTTTCCCTAGATCTCCGCAGAGCAATCCCTCCTTTTCAGCAGCTGTTGCTTTTGGTTCTCACTGATCAAATTTTTGGTATGGCAGTAATCACGCTCTCCCTTCTGGACGTTTGATATCTATATTTTAGTTTAGATTGTTTCTTTTCTCTTCTAATGTATAGTTTAGTTCGGTAAAGTGCAAGTCTTCTAATGTATAGTTTAGTTCGGTAAAGTGCAAGGTTAGTATTGATAAAGTAGTTTAGTTTGCTAAATTAGTTTATAGATATTTTTGTATTTTCTGTTTTATTTTGTTTTTCTTATAATTTCTTAAATATTAATAAAGATCATGCGAGACTGTCACACTTAATAAAAAAAAAAAAAAAAAATCATTTTTACATATCATTTTTAGGTAGAACAATATATTATCCCTTAAACTGTAGAGGTTCGCAGGCAAATTTGTCTGCTTATTTACTATAAATTCCCTTCTGATTTACTTTTATGAAAAATTAAAATTTTTAAAAATTTTTTTTTTTAAAT